TAAACTTTTTCTTTTTTCTGTAGATCAGACTTCTTTTTGTATGTCTGATATGAGAACAGCAAGGTAATGCTTGATGTTGGGTCTTTCTAGGGAGGGAATGAGTTAAGCATGAAGCCCTCTATCCATGTAGAGAAAAAAAAAATACAAACCTAATCTAAAACTGTGATAAAAATGCAAAGCAACTTTGACTTAAGACTGTGCCCTTGCCTGCTAGCACTAAATCTGTGTGCGCAGGGAAAACAACACTTTATTAAAAACTTTGGTGCGCCCTTCTCGTCCCATCTGGTCCAGTGGGATTTGTGCACCATCCCTGAGAAAACAAAATCAAACCAAAGCAACTCAGATGGCGAGCAGGGGGCTTGCTCTGCGCTGCAGGACCCAGGAGAGGCAGCAGCCTTGGCGCTGCGCTGGCGGCCAGCTCCCGCCGTGGCCGCAGGCCTTCCTGCAGTTGTAAGAGAGAACTTCACAATATTTCAAGTAAGATAAAACAGCTGAAGGCTACTTTCTCTCTCACCTGATTCATGAGGAGGGAATACACGACTTCATGTCCCATTCAGCTATCTTCTTATACACCCAGTGTAAGAGCCTGAGCAGAGACAGGGCTGGAGATGAGGCTGAGCCATGCAAGGAGGATCTGGTTCATTGCCTGATCCTGCATAAACATTGTTTTCAACATTAACCTTTTGGTCCTGAGTAACTATGATCTGTGAACCAGTTTGGGAGGCTATAATTACGGGCAGATTTAATTTCTTTAAGCAGTTAGTACATACTGGAAATACAGCTTTTTGCCTTTTTTTTTTTTAATTATTGTTTTCTGGTTTTGTTTCTGTGGGCTAAATTCATATGAGTGTTTAATCCAATGAATTAATGTCCTCATTTTTTTCTACAATCTGTTTAAACATTACACAGGTATCTTTGTGCTTTGTTTCCTCCCTTTAATTTTGTCTTGTCTCATCTGTTGCATGGGAAGAGTATGACAAGGATGAACTAACTGCATGTTGTAGGTTGTGTCTGTCAAAGAACTGTTGGTCAGTGTTAAAAATTTACATACATATATGCAAAGAGTTTGTCTGCATTGTATAGTTTGTGTTTATTCTTATTTGTTGTATACACAGATTCAACATGATGAATAAAACATTTATATGAAGGCATACTGGAAACCAACAGAATAGTTTATGTAAGAAGTAGACTGTGCAAAGCATCATTTCACTGGCCACAGGATGGTGAAACTTCATGTAAATAGGTTGGCAAACTCAGTTCTCCCCCTTTATCATGCCAAAGAAAATTTCAGCTCCTTAATATAATACCTCTCTTGCTGTTCTCCAGGATGAGACTTCACCATTTTCTTCCCTCTAAAATTAATTTTGCTTTTAAGTGAAAGCTGTTTTCAACTGTCTGTTACTACTAAAGTACTGTATAGTAAACCTGATGGAATCAATTTGTATTTACAGATGGGGGTTTTTGTACTTACATGTGCAGCTGTCCGTGAATCTGCAGCGTTCCAGGTCTTTTGCATGCATGCATTGTATTTTGTTCTTCTGGGTTTTCTCTAATCTCTGAGAGACTGTTCACACTGAAATCTAACCTCATCTTGCCATTTTATATGTTAACACCGCACAAAGTCATTTCTTCTCTTTTTTGATCTGTATTTCAGCTACAGTTCTATTTGGCAAAATCTGTCACACCTGCACAGTTTTAGAGATCCACTTTTGAAGAGATATGAACTACTTCAACAAAGCACCATTTTGCTGTACTTAAAAAATTTTATCAATTCACAAGAATCCTTATGAGATTGCTCACATGATAGAGCCTATGGAAGGGTCTCTAGCTCCTTTTAAGTGCTTTGTAGTTCACATAACAACTTTTGCTTAATTTTCTGGGTTTTTTAGCCATTCTCAATTGATATTGTAATATACTGTCATTTTCATAAATGTTGGTTCTTAATAAACCCCTCCCAGGCCCTCCCCTTCACCAGATATAAAGTACAGCAATTCACTTTGACTTATGGTATATACCTGAAACAATACTAAGAGCCCTGGCTTTCCATACATATATATGGGGAAACATTTTGTCTTGGTTTAAAACTAGTTTAAGCAATGAGGTATGAAAGCAGCCAGTTTGGTCCATGCAGTAAAAGCGTATCATGATGATCTATCTGTTTATTGCTATAAAGATTACATTATTCAGCTACATTCAAATGGGAATGGAAGCAAAATTAGACTACATAAGAAGGTTCTTTTTCTTCTAAATGGCCCTTTAGATAAATTCATATTTCATGCAATGCATTCTAAAATGTTTAATAACCGGGTTTGTTTTCTGTGATGACTAATGCAAATGCTATGACTTCTTTTTAAAGATGTAATAAATTTTTTTGTTCAATTACTTAGTCAGAAATATTCAACTTAGCTTCCTTCATCCCAGTATCATTTAGCTGTATCATTTAGCTACAAAGTGAGATTCCATTCTGCAAAGAAGCAAGGACAATATATCAGAAAAGTGAGAGCAGCTACATGATCAAATGCATCTATGTGTTTCTAAGAAAGAATATAGCCAGTAGAAAAAAAAAAAATCACAAGCAGGTTAATAAATTATAGAAGTAAATTAATCCACAGGTTTTTTATAGGTGATATTACAGATATGTTATACACAATAGGTGTAATCCTGCAAGTCTATTATAGAAGCACTGGCACATTTCTGGATTGTGTTCTTTCTCACATAAGAAGAAAACAAGACTATAATATATTTTTGTTTATAAGCTTTATCAATCTAATCAGTAAGAAGTCCCCTTTTATCCAATTTGGTTTTGCCTTTTGCCACAGGCCTGGAAGCAGGTTTTTACAGTCACTAGCAATGAAAAATCAAGCAGTAAGTTTCACTTCCTTATGCCTCTTCCTGCATTTACAGTTTATATATCTGGAATTCCCATCACAGGGAATGACATAAGGGAAAAAGATAAAAAATTATTAGTACAGCTATTATATTCAAATATGTGGAATAATAATCTTATTCCTTCTGATTTCATTTTTCTAGAGAGGAAATGAGCCACAAAACAGATATGCTGGGTGTCACATCACCAGTTACCTCAGCATGAAGAGCAGGGGAAATGTTCAAGCAACATTATAGGAAACAAAAGAAATATTGGAAAATAATTAATGTCTACATTCCATTTTTAGTAGTCTGAGTTAATACTTTAAGGTTTATAGTAATAGCACAATTTTGTTTGATAATTGCATTTAAAGGAACCACGGAGAGTAGCTGTCTTAGATATTCCGATTTTTTTCCACATATAAGTTAAAAACAACTGGCATAACCCTTTTTGAAATGCTATGGCTACATAATCCATCCAGTAGTCAAAAAGGTTGGAGCTGACTGGTATTAAAAATTCAAAGTAAAAATTACTTTATACTCTTTAAGTATAGAAATTTAAATTAAAGCAAGTGACAAAAATGCATCAAATACAACACTGGAACCACCTAAAGAATTGTTCTTTTATATATGAATGAGTACCTGAAATACCACAGCTGATCTACAGTATATATAGATGTTTTGATGCCATGAAAACAAGTCAAAAGCATCTACTGACACCAGAATAGAGTTTTGATTATGTAGTATTTTCTTAATACAGTACTAAATATAAATGGAAGGAAAGCAAGGAGAACTTTGTATCCTTCGTTGTTTACATTCTGATTCAGCAGATGAATGTATATGCAGAAAACCCAGTGATTATGAGATGATTCAGGTCAGTGGTATTCATTATTCATAAATATAAATAAAAGCAACAATTCGTGCTCTCCAGACACTAAGGTTGGCAAAATGCATATATGCTAAAACTTAAGAAAATTTTCCGGTTGAGCTCCATGGAGTTTTAGAGTTTTAAGTATAAAATATAAATTAAAATTTGAAGATGAATTTTACTTTGAGGGTTCTTTATGTGTTATGAATACAGTTTAGAATTCTGCCTGATACTTGGTTATCTGGTAAGAGAGTAGCTAGCAGCTTTGGGATGTATGTCTAGTTATTTATCTGCACAGCTCATATGTAAATTGGATGTTTGGTAATGGTACTCCCTGAGAATATGGGCTTCACAAACTTCATTTTTAGAAAGAATAGAGGTTAAGAGGAAAAAAAAGTGGTAGTTGAAGAGCAAGCTATATGGGACGGGGGAATAATAATGCAGTTAAATAAATTAATTTGAAACTTTGCATTCTATCCCATTTACCATTGTACTTTCCTATTTCGAAACTGTCCTTTCTAAAAGAAAAGTAATTTCTAGAGTAATAATGGAAATACTTTTTTCTGTTAATACATAGTTTTATTATTTCTGAGTCATGCACTTCTTCAAAAATCAGGACCTTGGCACCTAAACCACAATGTTAAAGTTTGGTATCTAAAAGAAGTATTTTTGAGCCATTTAATCAATTTCTTGCTCAATCATGGTTTCACAAAATGTAAACACTTTTGAAACTAAAATGTATATTTCTTTTTTTTTTTTTGCTCTAAAGAATTCAAGGGCTGCCAAAACTACATGTACAAAAAAATAAGAGACTCATATGTAAATAAGTTAGGGAAGTCCCAATAGTTGTGCATCGTTCATAACTCAATGTGAATTTCACACTGAGCAGCATTTCACCATTGGAAAATAAAAATAAAATTTTTGTTCATACCACTGCTTTGTTTGTATTTACTGTATTAAAACTTTAATTACTTTGTTGACATTGTCCAAACATCTTTGGCTGAGACCAAGCTACTGCATAACACAGATGATTTTTCAAGTCAGTTGACTTCAGGTTCCCCACTTCTATGAAAGCAGTTAAATTCAGTGAATTCCATGTGTGACAGGGCAATCTATCTTGAACAGTGATTTCTAAGAGTAAAATCCTAAAAGTTACTAATATAAAAACATTGCACTTGCTTTACATGTAGGAGGCAGCTGTAGATACGTAGAACGGTACAAGAGAAGTCCATGTGAGTTGCAGAATACATATGCAGAATAGGCAGTCTTACTTTTATATCTTTATTAGTTTCACTCCATATGTTTCTATAGGTTATGTATTTTAAAGTATTGTAATATGTAGATTAGATAACCAACTTACTGACATATCAACCACAGCAACTAAAAGAAGTTCTCCTGTGGAAAAGGTTCCCATTCAAACATTTTGGGTTTTCAGTCTATAAGTGTCACGTAATTGGACCTCAGTTACACAAATGACCAAGTAAAAAATCATTAATATTTTTATAGGCTTCCTTACAGTTTCTCTCAACTTATGAGTTGGTTTATAATCAGGATTGTTGGGAAGAAAAAAACGGGCCAAATAATGTCTTTTTCAAATACCATTAAAAAAAATCAAACTAATTATTTGACAATATTCCACTAGTGCTACTCTTCTACACGTGAATTGTTGCATACTGACAAGAAGACACGGTAACCAAGTAAATAATGTTAAAAAAAGGGTCTTCTTATACCTTTGCCTCAGGTTGCTCAAAGAAATAGTCATTACAGGTATATTACCGGTTCCACTGAATTTACAAAAAATCTCTGGCAAGTTCCATAGGCCAGTATTTTATGACTTCACCCTCTAGAGCATAGGCTGTCGTGGTCCCTTGTTTAGTTTTCTGATGCATTTCTTTAAGGAGCAGATCCTCAAATGTGTTCTAAGGTATTTACAACCATGTATGTGTGCGTTCATGCATACCCACACCCAGATACTTTTGAAATTAAATGTCCTAGCAGCCTAAAGAAAAAACAAACAAAAAATAACCTCCTCAATCTTTTACATCCTCCATTAAGGATATTCTCTCCCCAGCCAGATTTCACAAGCATTTCCATTCCATCCTTCCCAGCACTCACAGTTTCCACAGCTACAAACACCGTTACCTAGAATAGAATGAATAAAGGATAATTATAATAATTGAAATGTACTACATTAAAATGTGTTTTATGGGAAGTAAAAAGCTATGCTAAAGTAGATGTATTGTTCCTTCATTGTCCCCTTTTTCCTTTGGAAGGAAGCAATTACTGTACCATTGCATTAAGAAGCCACCCCACACCTATACTTACACGGCATTAATAGCGTGTTCTCAATAATTCCATCAGCAGTATTGCAAATATTGAAATTGTGTATGGTGAAGTGTAATTGTGTACACCAATGTTTGTACCCAGCTGGTGAGGCTAAGTGTTCACACTGTGCCTCCAGGTACAAAGAAAAACAAGATTAACTATTATTCCTAAAGAAAAAGCCATTAAAAGCTATCACCAGAATAGCAATTAAACCATGGCTTTGAGCATGAAAACTTTAAACCTAAAATCTCAGAAGTGCTATACAAATAAATCCTATCTCAAACTCTCTATTATGTGAAATATGTCCTGGCCCTATTTTGCAGCAGTGGAACAGTTGAGACCCATCTATTGATTTTATTTAAATATTTTTATGACCCTTGGATGCTCAATTTGAGACCTCTATAACCATTGTATCTATGTAAACTCCTCTTCCTTCTGACTTTATGAAGATCCAGAATTGGGCATTAGAGCTACAGGTAAGGCTCCTGTTCCTGCTATACTGGCTAGTTGCCTCCAGAAAATGACCCTTGCTAACAGGGCTAGCTGGAAGACACAATTTACTAGTGTCAGCCTTCCCACTCTAATAGGCTTGCAGAGCTCTTCCACATCTAATAATTGCTCAGCAAAGATTTTCTAAAATTAAGATTTGTAATGGGAAACAGCCAGTGAGTTAATTTAGCAATTCCCATGCTACTTCTTGTCACTATGCTTGTCACAAGGGTTTGTTGGCAGCCTGCCCATTTCTATCGACATCTGCCACCTGCATATTCAGACAATGTTAAGGTGAAGCTGCTTGAATCACTTACCATCACAAGAAAAGCTATCAGCTATTCCAGCCTCCCACCAACAACTGTCTGATTGCTAGGAAGCTCTCTTAACCCACACAACTATGCCCCTAACCTGTAAAAATCTATTTTACTAACCCACCAGTGATTTTTGACTGTTACTTAAATGCATTACATACATGGAATGTCGAGTAAAAGAGCAAAGGCTAAGGAAACCATAATGATGACACTGTGTTCCTTGCCAAAAACCAGTAACTTGTAGTCTATTGCAGAGAGAATTGTTGATAGATTCCATAGCTGGCTTACTTATTTAAAAACAGGCTTTTAACTGTTGTTTTGAAACCTTAAGTTGATCATTGCACTGCATGAAGAAACAATTACAGCAGGTTTGAATAACCAGCAAATGTACTTCCTCCATCAGTGGTGAAAGGAGAAGCTGGGCTTTGTCTAACATAATTCTCATCAACTCAGTTTGTTTCCTGAAGCAATTAAGTGTTAGCCTGTACTGCACCTGTGCAAATGAGACCATCATGTTTGTCACAGTCTCTGTCATCGCATTCACAGAAATCACCCGAAATGTACCATTCCTGGGGTGAACAGATGCACTTTCCACAGTGGCAGGAGCCTGAAATCACAAAAAGTATTACTCACAGTCAAAGAGTACTCGCACATTCAAAGTAGAAAATAACAACCCAAGTCACACATATGCACGCATACGCACATGTGCATGTGCACAAAATTGCTGCCTAAGAGGCTGTTGCATAAAAGAAAATAATCAAGCTAAAAGCCTTTTGAATGAAAGGATTCTTTTCGCATGAGTATGATGGGATGTTACTACTAATAGCTTTGATCCTGCTATTTCAATTAATCAGGACTCACATTTTGAAGCTTTCTTTTGGTTTTAGAGACCTACAATCAGGGCTTCTCTCCCCAGTAACTTCTTTTTTTTTTTTTTTTTTTTGTACTAGCAAAGCTGAAATTGTCCCCAACCCATTGTTACTGAAGGCAGTAAAATCACACCCAGGAAGAAAATAGTCCTCCTCATCTAAAGCTTTTAGGGGTGAGTTCACAAAAGACCAGCAGTGCCCAAGACTAACATCTATAGACCCCCAAAATCCTCACCACCACAAATGAAGCTATGAAGCTTCTCCACCTCCCATGGACTTACTGAACATTTGCTCTAGGTCAGAAAGAGTTTGTGCACATAATGGCAATTGCCTCGTTCCTGCAGTGTGCCCTAACACACTTTGTTGGGACAAGCTGCTCTCCTTCTCCTCAAGGATGTCAGGCCACACCCTCACGGGCAAAGCAGGGACTGTGTGGTCAAATTCAGGTGATGCTATAACCCATGGAGCACCAGAAACCTCCCTTGAAAAGAAGACTCTGAGACATCCTTACTCTCAGGAGAAGGTTTGTGGCTCTGAATCGTGGGCAATGACAGGTGCCCCTGGACAACCATGTGTCAGGAAGCCTGAGAAGTGTGTGAGAGAGGCTTTTCTGCAACTAGAAATGCCACAAGGAGATGGTAATTCTTCCTGAATGATTCCAGCATTTGGCTGAAAAGACTTGGCTTTTACAGATCTCATCTTCAGCAGCCTGGCCCTATGCAGATTTCAGACATGTAAACAGTGAAGTGGGGATCTTAATAACTGCTAAGCAAAAATCCTTTTGTGGACCTAGCCCTAAGAAGGGGTAACAGCAGAAATCAATGTTAAAAAAAAATAAATTAAAAAAACCCAGATAAATTATAGCAAAAAATATATGCAACATGTTCAGGGGCTGAGTTAAAAAATCTCACCAAAGAAGCTGTTGACCTTTTACAGAAGATGCTTATAAATGAGTTAAATTCACTTGAAAATCCTAGCTTCCTGCAATATTTCCAGAATCATTCCATTAAAGAGTCACCAATGTGTTGAATGCAGTATTACAGAAAAAATACATAGAAGGAAGCTTGGTTATGTCAGAATATAACCTAAATAGAATTCATGGGTTACTCAACAGGGCCTGAGCCAAAGCCTATAAAATCGTGCTTTTCCATCTTCCCACTTCTTTCAATGACCTGTGAATAAAATCCGTAGTAATAATCCTAACACACTTGAAGAAAAAAAGTTGCATCTGTTGATAGCAACCAATTTTCCATTGCTTTTCCCATAAATACTGAAGCTTAATTCTTGAAAACTTCAGAAGAGCCTCAGCAGAGTATCTAATTTGTAATTAAATATGTAATTTAATGCTTATTTAAAATTCACAAAAATTAACTCATTGCCTAATTTTAGGGAAATGCTTTAACTTGTAACATATGGAACATGTAAATATATTCAGGAAGAGCTAGTGATTAGAACATTTGAGGATGGAAGTATTTGATTAAGCATCTACTTTCTTGTGTGGGTTCTGAGTATTGCTTACAGGGCCACTGGCATAGAAAATACTGACATTCCCTACAAGGATCAAAAATGCTGTCGTATAAGGAGACAGTGGAGGATAGCAGATATATCACAGGGTTGCTTTATAAGAGGTACACTAAGATATACTTGAGGGTAATTTAAACAAAATACCTCTGTTTATATAAACTGCAAGCTATTGACATCTGAAAACAATGAGGAATAGTATGAGGATTTTAGTGAAATTACAACAGTTATTAAGAGTCTTACACTGTAATAAGCCTGGAGTGATTCTGCATCAGCAAGCACTGATCCTGCTACTGAGGGATGCCCACAATGTTTAAAACTGTTTTGCAGAAGATACAGCAAATTTAACACCAAGTCAAGCAAGGAAGATAAGGCTCCAAAATGCAAAATCTGTTAGGGAAACGAATGTATCGAGACTTCTCCCTGAGCAGGGCATGCTGCTCTGGGAGGCTCATCAGTTTAATTGAGTCTAATGAGTTGCAGGGTGTTTCCTGGGATCCCAGCCAGATCCTCTCAGATGGGATTTGGCTCATTACCTTGCCCACATCCTGCACGGTCACAGTCACCATATACATCCCTATCTTTACTGCCAGGGAGGCAGCAGCATGGTGGGTGTTGCTGTTTTCCTTGGGAAGAGCTTTTGCTACAGGTGGCACAGTCAGCGAGCCAAGATTCTGAAAACAGCCTAGGAATGTGGATGCCCAGCTTTGCTTATATTAGCAGAGTGCAATTTTCTGATAGTGTTCAGCAGTTATCTGCTGAGAACCAGGACTCTTCACAGTCTATTAAAACCTATATACAGAAACTCAAGTTATCCTCAGTCCATTTTAGCACTTGCATATCATGGCTAGGTTTCCAACAAAAATGGGAAAACCATCATTAGTGCACAGGTCCAAAATTCCATTTTATTTGACCAGTAATAATTTTTATTTTTTTTTCCTCACTGTAATGAATCAGAAAGAAAAATTTGCCATTTTGGTTCCTGGATAGTGTTTCACTATGAACGGTGTTTTAAACTATGAACAGCCAGTAAGATGATTTCAAGATACATAACTTAGCATCAAGAATAGATTTGAAAAAAAAAAAAAAAAAGAAAGGAAAAAATGAAAAAAATAGCATAGCAGCAAAATTTATAATAATACAATATATATATTTTTTAATTAGACTGTCTTTGCCTGTGATTCCCATCATGCTCAGAGAAGAAGCAAGAGCTAGTAGCCTTCTTGGATGTTTACTGGCCACACACTACTGTAGATGTCTTATGGAGGCGATTTCTCTAATGTGTGCTCAGGGGCCAAAGAAATTTAATCCCCCCAAAAAAAAAAAAAAACAAAAAAAAAAACAAATCCCACCACTCTTTCTGTGTATGGATTTAGGGTCACAGAATGGGTCAGTTTGGAAAGGACAACACTAGAGCACCTTTCATTTAAAAAAAAAAAAAAAAAAGAAAGGAAAAAATGAAAAAAATAGCATAGCAGCAAAATTTATAATAATACAATATATATATTTTTTAATTAGACTGTCTTTGCCTGTGATTCCCATCATGCTCAGAGAAGAAGCAAGAGCTAGTAGCCTTCTTGGATGTTTACTGGCCACACACTACTGTAGATGTCTTATGGAGGCGATTTCTCTAATGTGTGCTTTGGAAAGGACAACACTAGAGCACCTTTCAGGCTGCTACACATTATAAAAGTGACCAGACCCCAAACCACACCCTGGCAGCATAGACAACAGAGGTTAAAAATCCTTGGTATCTCTGCAAATTCCTGATGGATTACCAGCTCCCAAAGCTTCAAAGTTAATGGTATCCTTGCAACACATGGGTAAAGCTAATTGTTCTCATAGTAAGACCCACAGGCTGGAATAAATAGCTCTCAGCCATCCTTACAAAAAATAACAAATAATATTAATATTTTAAAAATCAGTATCATTTTTCATGTTTATATATATACAGAATCTTACATAGCACATTTTATTGATAACAAGCATATTCCTTCACCTTCATGGTTTATATAAAAAAATCTCAGTAAGGCACACATTAAGAGAAAAAAGGTTAACCTCTGCAGTAAAACAGAGTAATTTCCATTTCTCATTTCTGTAACTCACTCACTCTTACACATACACTAATTTAAAGATAGTCCCATCTGGAAAAAATAGAGAAACAGTGCAACTTTCTCGTTTTTTATGACACTGCATCAACTGAGGGGGAAAAAGCCCCAAAACAAAATTAAATGGTGCAATAGGGAGAATTCTGATAGATGAAGCCTGGGCTAGAAACCCCATTTAAATTTCCTCTGCACTAAAATAAAAGTTACCAAAGGGAAAACTGGAAATCTGCCTAATGTAGAGGGTTCCTAACTGGTTTTCCAGCTGGCAGATTTCTTTCCTGTCTATGCAAGGAACATACAAATATAGGAAATGACACAGAGTCTGGATTGAGTGCATTTTAGCCTCCAACCAGTCTTTTTTTTTTTTTTTGTCTATTCTCTTTCAGACATATTATATACAAAAATAGGCAATTTGCACTACAGGGGAGCTAAAAAGCCCTCTTTCCATTAATGCAATTTCCTAGCCTGAAAGACTGCAAGGTAAGAACCTCAGAGAATAATTTCAGATAATTATCAAGATTTTCTAACTTTTATTCTTCCCTGTGGCAATTTTTTTTTAGAGAGGAACTGAAGCTGATGCAACCAGATGAATGAAAATTAGTAAATGAGAAAGTTTGTCGGATTCATTTGAGGGGGTTGCAGACATCTACTTTTCCCTTGCAGCTGTTTTGGGGAGCAGAGGGATTAAGGGTACCAAATTGCTTTTAAACACTTTCCTCCACTTGCTGTTGTCCAATATATTACATTTGCCATCTTCCCCACCGGAGTGTTAGTGCCCTTTTTCCCCAAAGTGGAAGGGCACTAACAGTTAGTTTATAATTTACAGCTGTTCCACACAGACCATCAGCTAAACACATCCAGGAAATAATATGCTACTAACAAATTGCATAGGAGAGCAACGCTGCTGAACGTGTACGGCTGGGGTGGGTGTCTGGCAAAATGGATGCAAGTGCATTACAGAGCATCCTTTAACAACCTTTTAATAATGAGTGTCTTTGAAAGAGAGGGTTACTGAACAACAACCCCCTGCCATGCACATTAGTCTTCCAGAACGTGATTATTTTCCTCTGTCAGGCACTGACACAGGGTAGCTCAGCTGCCAGATCTTACCCTTCCCGGAGCACAATATGCCATCCGCTGACTCGCAGAGACTTCTGCTCTCCTCCTCCGTCATGTTGCACTTCCTTGAGTGCTGGCACAACTTTCCAAACCACCCATCCTGGCAAATGCATCGGCCACATGAGCAGATACCATGGCCTGTAATGACACCAAGGTTGGTTATGAGCAAGACAAGCAGAAACCTGTCACTGTGGTCGCAGAAACCTGGGACTGTGGTCACAGCGTCAGACCTCTTCAGTATGAAGTGTGTGCTGTGGGATAGAAAGACTGATGGGTGGACAGCACAGCTTCCCACCAGGACGGCTTTCTCCAGTTCTCTCCTTCTTGTGTTAAAAGGGTGCCCGAATAATGTGCAGAAAACAAGTGAGAGATAGGTCAAAGAAACCCTAGAACGTGGGTGAGAAATAGACACGAGAAGCCATAATTCACATTTTAAAGAAGGGAGGGAAAAGATAAAATAGAATTTTTAAAAAACTACTCGTAAAAAAGTGAATAAAAAATTGAAAATATGTTGACTAATAAACTGAGTAGAAAATTTGGCCAGGAAGAAGGGAAAAGTGCAAAAAAATAGAGACAAGAATATAGGAATGGAGAATAGGAACAAAAGAAGTAAGAAATGTCTCCCAGACAGAATTACATTTTTCAGCTTTGAATAATTCTGCTTCAGAGATAATAATTCCTTAGCTAATTAGTTAGCAGGGAAGCAAACACATACCAGTGACTTTTGTCCTATCCTATCTTCTGTGTAGGGCAAGGGAGTAGAAGTGAAGGGACTGAGATAATTTGGGAGCATGGACTGGGAAGAAGGGAACAAGCAGTAGGAGTATCTGGGAAAGGATGGAGCTGTAGGATGTAGGGAAGCAAACCAGCAATTTAATTTTTCTGATTAGTGGATTTTTTTTTTTTTTTTTTTTTTTTTTTTTTTTTGTAAACTGAGAGGCAACACTCAGTGGAAAGTAGAGGCCAGAGGAGAGACAAACCTGGTAGTTTGCTGAAAGTGAAATTCATTCAAGTTTACTGATAGTCAAATACTTAACAAATTTTAATTACAAAAATACTGGAGCTCCAAAGTCTTGGAGATGTCATTTCCAGCATCTAAAAATTCAAAATAATTTTTGTATCCCAAACTCTGTATTGATCTTTGAGGTGTTTTTATCATATTACATTATTGATGTCTATTATATTTTGATCATATTTATCATATTCAAGGCTCAGTTAACAACTACACAGACTTATTATCACAGTATTTCCACCCACTTCTAAAAATTGATAACTAGCAATGACAAAAACTTGATGCTACTTGAATTTTTGTGTCAGACTGGGAAACAAGAACAACTATATGACAACCCAAAATATAAGAGGTAGAAAACAAGCATACGTACTTTCCCATATGCCCCTTCCAGATAGATGTCATGCAATTGACTATATGAACTATCTAAAATAAAACTTCTGTCAGAGTATATTTATTGACCTTATTTATTTCTAGCTAAGAACCAGCTTAAACACAGAGATTAGAATTCAGATTAGCTCAGCTAATTAAGAGCAAAATATGCCGCTGCTGGAAAATTATTTCTGAAGATACAAACCCCTCTACTCTTTTAGAAGTCAATAGTAAGAAATCCATGGCAATTTCACTGAGAAAATAATTTTATGGCATTTTTCTCACAGTCATTATGTTATGTGAGAAGAGTCTCATCAAGTCTGTAAATCCTTTACACAAGTCAAAAAAGGTAATGAATAATCTAGAAATTTGCAGCAAACAGAGCTTGCAGTTTACCACATAAAATTTGACATGCACTTTTCTGCAAAAGGAAATTTCTCTCCTCCTTTATGCCACATAAATCTTTAAAACATAAAGGATTCTTTTGTCTCAAATAATCCATTAAAAATTATATTTGTTCCTAGCTGACATCAGCTTGAGCAGCTGCAGCTTTTTGGATGCCTCATCCATTGAGGTGGCAAGTGTACAAGTGTTCAGCCCACTGCTTGTTAAATTGAAGCTATTTCATATGAGTGTGGTAGCCTGGGAACAACTGCTTTACATGGTCTAGTTCTGAATATCCTCCTTGCAAATCACAGAAGAAAGGTGTAATCTGAATAGTTAAATCAATATTTTATCATGTTAAGCAATTCATTTTGGCTGGAGTTCTTCAATTAGAGATTTTTCTTTACGCCTAACTATACAGATTACACATATATACTAGGAAGTGTTGATCTATCAATATTTCAGACCTAACAGAAAACAGTTAAAATCACAAACAAATTGCATTGTAAATGCTTATTCATAAAAAGCTATGTTAATGAACTTAAAATAATCAACAATGTTTTAAAAATTAATCTCAAAGAATAAGGACTTTGATGTGGGAGAGGCAAAGAAGACAAAAAAGACAGTGTCAAATACTCTGTCATTTTGCTTAGAATTATAACTCAAATAACCACAAGATTTAAATGTGAAACATGAATTCAGCAAAAAAGCAAGCTGCGGCAGATTACTAGCAGGGGGTCATTATAACCCAAATCAACCTGAACCAAACTGGGCACCATGATGAATTATTTCTTGCCATACCTGGAATTGAAATTGTGCTGTTGTAGGAAATGTTGGTTTAGGATTACTCATGCAGCTGTTGTTGGTGTTCCCCAAAAACCTCCACAATCATTTTGTAATACAAAAGGCACCACTACAGGGGAGCACCAGCACAGTGAAAAAGTGAAGTAACCATTACAGAGGAAGCTGGTTCTTATTTACAGGCTAACTATTACAAACAGATGATGTTCCTGAAGGGCAAACTGAGGCCAGACCCAAGCAAAATTTGGCACCTTAGGAACAGAAGTTTCTCAAACTAATACAATATAATGTATTTTAAATGGATGAAAAATAAAAAGTTTTAAAAGTGTAATAAGAATATGAAAAATTGCAGCATAACACAGGATCCCTGATATAGAACACCAAAGAAAATGAAACAAATATTTTTCTCTGTATTTAAATAGAAACAGGATTTCCATTTTTATTTTTGCTTCTAAATCGGAGGACTTTCCATTATATTATTAACAGAAGAGAATATTAAACCACATATATCTGCAAGAAATATTTCTAGGTGAGCAGGCTTCATTACCCTGCCCAAATATGCTAAACTAGCTGCTAAAAAATGTTTTTGGAAAACCGGTTTTTATTTTTTGTTTTTTACCGAATACCAGAAGACCAGAACAACTGCAGCTGGAGAAACCTAATATAAATGTGAATTAAAATATTGATTGTCTATTACATTTTCAAAGTAGGCCAGTTAGTCTTGTCTAAGTCTAATGAAGGTGGACTGTGGCTCCAGTTTGGGTAACACAACAGTCAGGAAGTTCAGTAGCAGCTTCAAGTGAAACACTGCAGCAAAAAGGGCCAATGTCATTCTCGCATCTACCTACCTAGAGAAAAATGAGGAGGAACAAAATTAGAGCATTGACGAGATGGTGTTATAGGCCGGCAACTCCGTGATATACACGTTTGAAGAGATTTTGGCAAAACTTGGAAGAGTACTAAAAAGTTCTGAGGAATTCAGAGGGTATGAGAACAGGTATTCTCAAACCACCAGAGAAAGACAAAGCAAGAGAGAAAACCTGACACAGACAAAATCATGTAAGAAATGAACCAGCATTTCAAACAAGGCTGATGACTATTGGAACAAACTTTCAAGTGATGTTGGTGTGGTCTACACATGTCTTAGGAGTTCTGAGAGCATGGCCTGCTCAGAGATAGGTTTTGCTGCACAAAGTGCAAGAATTCAACGTAGGGGAAGCATGGGAATAGTGTAATGGCTGTTCATAGCATAATAAAAGAGGTTCAACAGAAAAGCTCCTTTCAGATTCAAAAAATTAATACCTATTAATCAACTTAAATGTTAATTTACTAACTATTCCTTTACTGCTCATTTGAGCAGAAAGATTAAATTAAAATGCTTTTTTCAAACCTGAATCATATTTTATGCTATCTGCAAAGCTAAACAAACTTAGTTCTCTGTGCATCTGTGTAAAGTGTTGACTTTTCATACACCTACACAAATGTCTGTGTGACAAAGACATAAATCTGCAGTGCATTTAAAAAAAATTAGAAAAAAATTAAAATTAATTTAATTTCATACAGACTACGCAATGCTATTAGTTCCTGTACTAGCTGCAATCATCACTCTTGTATCTAATATGTACTGCTCGCTTCAAATTTATCTGTTTCTGCCCCTGGATTTGCCTCAGAACTAGGATGAAGCAGTTAAACACAAGGACACAGGCATTGAATCATTAACTTTCCTCTTAGAATTGTCAGAGTAAAACCTTAATTCACATTAGTTTTATTCCAGTTAGACTATGAGCTCTCCACTATTTAATACCATAATTTTCACCTTTGTTAGCACCAGTTTTACTCAGTAAATGTGTATGAACTGTTGGTTTGGTTTTCTGGATTTTTTTGTGGGTAGGTTTTTTTTTCCCCAGGAGAATGAATTGCATTTTTCAATAACAAATACCATAATAAAAATTCTCTATTATAAAGTAATATATATAGAGAGAGTATATCTACCTAGTATATTCACTATCTATACATAGCACTTAATTCTGCAGCAATTATATGTTCTTCAGTCTCCCCTATCAAAAGAATATGGTCCCTGGTCTAAAGACTTTTTGATGGAACAGATGAAATAGCTGTTGGATAGTATATAAACTTTTATTTTAACATGGTAGGAAACCTCAGAGAAATTAGAGGTTCAATTCAGATGCCCTGTGGCACTGGACATGCCCTGAGGCATCAAGGACATCCTCATGATGGCAGCAGCCAGACAGGCACTTCTGTGTCCTTGTGGAGCCAAGCTGGGGTCAGGCAAGGGTAGTCTTGGGAACTACAGGTGATAAAAAGTGCTTTAATTTAGGTGGCTGAAGACAGCTATATGTGCCATATAGTTGGAGAAGCCGTGGTAGTCTCAGGAGTCATATTTCTGAATTCTCAGACCAGCCAGTGCCAAAACCTGTCTTTGTTTGGGAGATTGACAGGTATCATTTTTCTTTCCTAATTTGTTTTTTACATATATTAGAGAGTTCTACAAATGTCTTATGTACTTCTGTGGATCAGCATTAGTGCAAGAAATGAGGAAATTATCTGACAG